ACCCCTGGGGCTGACAGATGCCATCCAGTAGCCACTGAGGGGGGGAAGTCCAACGAGGGGTCAATGACCCCTGGATTGGGCAAACCTGAAAACTGGGGAGTCACCAAAGTCTGCCAGGGACAGATAAAAGGCAGTGAAAAGTGACCCTCAGCGGCGCCCTCTTGATCTCGATCTCCAACTCGACCAGACCTGTCCAGCCAGAAGGACCAGCCGGCGACCCCCTTCTGGAGGATAACACCATGCTGAAAGAACCCTCAACTGGCCATCGAAAGCAGACTCCAGCACTTTTAGGATAGGTATACCTGACTCTGTAGCCTGCTACTGTGGGTGTGTGTATGTGTGTGCATGTGTGTGTGTGTGGGGACCAGCCCCAAGGTTTATGATTACAGTTTTTCAATCTGCCTAATAAACTAGAATTTTAAGGATCCCGAGTTGGACATTTGTAGCCAACACAGGGAATGGTACCAAGTATGTGGAGGCCCAGCAGAGAACTGGGAGGGAACAATTTCCCTGCAAATCCACAAGGGGCAGGGAAAGGTAAGAAGCCAAACCACAACCACATTCTACTTGAAAGCAGTTACTGGGATGCCCCTTGAATTCCCTTGTGCCCCGTGCCCCCCCCCCAACAACCCCCCCCAAAACAACAACAAAAACCCACCAAACTAGTGGAAAAGGGGCCAGCTCAGTGGGGATGAAGTATCAGGCATCTCCCCCTCCACCATGGAAGACTCAAGGGAGTGTGGAAGGGATTTCTTTACCCAATCCTTTATGGAAGGGATTTGTCCACTGTATATGGAGGGACTCCATACTGCCCAGCTCTAAGACAAATGCACTAACCAGCAATCAGCCAACCAATAAAAAAAATTCACAAATAAAAGTCAGGGAGACAATGTGAGACACCTACTATGATGTCACCTGCCAGCACAAAGCCCGGCATTGAGAGGTCACCACTTAGGTCAGACCTAACAATTATCAGCACATGAGGACTGGCCTATCTTTGCGGTAGATCACTCAAGCCAAAGAAGAGGGCCAGGACACAGAGCATTACCACATGTAAGGACAAAGGAGAGATGTCCAAAAGGAAATGAAGAGACACCCAGAGCAGTCCACAGCAACAGATAAGTTTCTGTTCATGGATAATATGGGTGTGGTTGGGTAGGGTCCAGAGGTAAATCTTGGGGGAAAATCTTGGGGAAATCTGAAACCCATGTCAGTGAAAAGATTTTTCCCTTCCTGCCAAACTTCAGAAGGTGCTACAACTTCCATGGATGCTGGTATCTCGCTGGGATTGGGAATGGTGGAACTCAGGCTGACTTATCATTTGCCTGGGAGCTCAGGAACAGAACAAAGTGAAATGTGAAGAGCCTCCGCAGCTCCCCCCCTCCCCCCCGCCATTCTCCTCTTGTGAGGAGTGACCTAGAAACTACTATGCATAGCCCAAGC